ACAATAGGCCCTCCTAGGGGAGGCGACGCCCCAAAACACCGCCTTTGCGAGGGCCCCTGGGGTCACAGCGACGCAAAGAGCCATAGCAGGGACTTCAAAGACCCCCGGGCCCTCCCTGGTGCTTCAGAGACCCCAGAAATCCTCTCTGGAACAACGGCGATTCCAGAGGCCTTATCAAGGACAGCAACGATCCGAGGGATCCTCCTTCAGGCCTCAGCGACCCCATGGGGCCCTCCCATTGTCGGCAGAAACCCCAGGGGCCCTTCTATGGGCGTCGGCGCCCTCAGGGGCCCTCCCAGTGGCGGCAGCGTCCACAGGGACCCCATGGGGGCGGTGACGACCTCAAAGACAAACTCAGGGGAAGCTGTAACCCCAGGGGCCTTCTCAGGAGCAGCAGGGACCCCGTGGCTCTTCAAGTGACAGCATTGCCTACAGAGGCCCCTCAAGGGCGGTGGCGACCCCATGGGCTCTCGCATGGGCTGGTGCGACCCCAGGGGCCTTCTCAGGTGTGGCAGGGTTCTCAAGGGCCCTCCCAGGTACTGTAGCATCCCAGGGGCCCTACCAAGGGTGCCCCTTCCCAGAAGCCCTATAGCTTGCTTGGTCATGGTGCTGTATATATTGCATACGTGCAGTAATCCCTTACTTAACTGTGATTGGTGGACTAAAATGTAAACCCACCAAATTACAGCCAATAGGAGAACAGAGCACTCAGTCAGCACAACACTCCAACTTTTGTTTTCCTGTTCGATACAGCTATTTTTAGTAACTATATACCGTTAAAATTCCTTAAATCTAACCTTAATGTCAATTGAGGATAACCTAACGATAACTTTTAGGCATCCCAGTTATTTCACCTAAACATCATACACCCGTCACTTCACCTTTAAATAAACTACCCTAACCTGACCTCACCTCACCAGTCCCACCAACTACCAGCTTACTAACCATTCAGGGGGTCAGTCTGTCCTTTTATCCTTTACTACAACCATCATTGTCCAAGAGCTTGTTGAGGAGAGAGAGTGGAACTTAAAGAAAAACTGCAATATATGGTAAGGTCACACTGGATGACACCCATCTCACATCCAGACCAGGGTAATGAACACTCATTTATTATTTATCACTTTAATACTTTAATTTTTGTCAATATCGTTCATGTATTTCAGAAGCATAACACCTGAATATCATTCCATAAGATCAGGCAAAACTTTTGGGGTTAGTTATCAGAGAAATGCCATTAACTTTCCTCGTGTGTGTGTGTGTGTGTAAATAAGAAGCTGTTACTCCTAGAAAAACGTCAAGACACACATTATAATACACACTATCACCTCAGAGAAGAACTATATTTTTTATGAGCATCCCTGAACAGTGATAATACATTATCTTACTCCAGCATCAAAAGTGAAACTTCCAATCTAAAATACAGTCATATGCAAACACTCGAACAGAAGCACTCACACACAAACACTCACACTCAAGACGATTCACAAATTCAGGGAAATGTATACATACCAGCAAGTATACATGAAGGGGTTGATACACATGTAAACAGGTAGGCATTCATACATAGGCACACTGGTACACACATACATACAGGGAAGAAACAATAGGCAGAAACTTTAGCCAGAAAAGAGATTTGGTAATACACATGTCATCTATACATCACTCTGTCTTTTAACAAGTGTTTTGAAGATGGCTAAAGAATATGTTATGAATCTTTACACACTACACCTCCCAGTCAAAATGAAGAGTCTTTTGAATTTTTATTACAGCCAAAAATCAACAAAATCTCAAGTTAGTTCGAGTCTAATGTAGAATAAATTATTATTACTTTTACTTTTATCCTTTTCTTTGCCACTGATTGGCCTTTGAATGAGCTCACACTGGCCCTTGAAGCAAAATAAAATTATTTATAATATTGCAAATTACAGGTATTATACTGTAATACAATATGCTTTTATTAGTAACAATGAAATGTATATACCCAACTTACTTGAAAATTTACCCCCTCAAAAAAGAATAAAATAATTACGTAAATAAGATAATAAATTAATATACTACAGTATATAAATTACATAATAAGGAGACTCACACATGAATCCTTTTACTCTCTTCAATGCCACAACAAAATCCCTTAGCAAGGACCCACACTAAGACCAACATACATACATACATTCATACCCACACTCACCCTGCACACTATCAGTTACAAGCTCACTTTACCATATCTCCATCCCTTCAAAGTTTTACTTCTCAATATTTCAGGTGTTTCTGCACTCATTCTCCCATCTTCCTTCTTCCCCCATTCTTAGCAGGTGTACTCATGACTCAAAAGTTAATTTCCTCTGATACTGTACCAACAATAAACAAGTGATTCATGTGAGTCGTGGCCCAGCCTACAGGAAGGATATTGTAGCAAATATTTTGATCGTCGTTGCTGTCGGTGCTCTTGGAATAATAGACGAAGACAGTAATATCAACATAAAGACAGATACTAAGTGATGTGTTGAGGATTTTCAAGACTGTGAGAAAATATATATTCATAGCAGCTATGAGTGAGTGAGTGAGTTAACTACCATATTACAGTAATTATGAGTAAGTAATAGAAGAAAAAAAATCTTTGGTTTCTTTCTAAATCTAACTCTATAAAAAAAAATGTATAGTTGAGACAGTAAATATTTATATCATATTTCCATGAAAACAGTAAATTAATACTCATCCTACGTCAAATAAAAATTATATTAGGGTAAAAAAGCACTGGTTTCCTATTTTTCGTAACAGCACACCGGCAAAAAATATTAAGTGTAACCTTTCCTTGAAGTAACCTGTAAATTATATAATATTGTACAGTATCCTCTGAAGCATAACTCATTGAACCAATATACTGTACTCTATCTTATTCTTTAAGATGAACACCCATAACACCTTATCTTATACGACACAATTTGAGACTTGGTAACTTCACCATCTGAAACCTCTTGTGTGGAGCCAATCTATCATCTGAAACTTCTTAAGTGGAGCCAATCTACCATCTGAAACTTTAGTGTGGAGCAAATCTACTGTCTGATACCTATGTGGAACAAATCTATCATCTGAAACCTCGTGGAGCAAATCTACTGCAAAATACAATTAATAAGAAGCCACATCATACAACTAAGCACATCCTATCTGGGAACAGACCAACTTAATGATCAAACTAGAGTGTAAGTGTAAAACAAGGTCACCAGTACTTTCTCTTTTGATGTTACTCAAATACTCAATGATTCTAAAGTGTCCATTGTTACTGAACCCTTATTCAGCACAGAGAGACCTCCATACACAAGAGGTTAATAATCCATATAAAAATATAGACATTAACTTAAAAAATTCACACATAAATTACAGTATAACATATTTCTAAATGCATATAGTCTTCCTAATATTCAACTTGTTAGAAATAAATAGAGAAGTATCTTATCCTAACCAACCACTCAAACTCTTCAGCATTCCTCTCCAAATATATTTCACGTGATTGTCCAAAACATATACTGAGAATAAATGAAAAAAAATTAAATAAAAGAAAAAGCTGATGCCATTTTATGTACGTGAATGTCAACAACACAAACATGTACCGTAAATAAACTCTTCAAAATATATAAAGCTTTATCATCATTATGTCTTGGTCAAACTTTGTGCTTTACTAAACTGTACAGTACCAACAAAGCTCACAACCAAAGCTATGAATCTGAGGCCATGTTAGATTACACAATATAATCAATACCAAAATAAATACAAAAACGTAATAATTAACTACAAATATACATACAGTATACATATAATGACTGAGATACAAATAGTTTTGAATTTAAATAAAACTGATATGATTTAATCTCTAAAATATAATCAATCTTCAAACTAAACATAAATCAGGTTTATTTACGCAGATTTTAAACCTACACGAGGCTGTCATACACCAATATCAAGGTTGTTTGGTGTGATGTTGTCTCTGTATCAGACATCAAAGTATTTCATAATTTTGTCTGCAATGTCATACTACTATATCTAACTTGAATATACCGTACGTTAACCTTAATAAAAGTCACCAAGCCATAATCCTCACCCTAAGCCAAGCCAAAATTATCAACCTGTCAAGGCATAATTCTCAACCTGCCAAGCCATAATTCTCAACCTGTCAAGCCATAATCCTCACCCTAAGCTAAGCCATAATTCTCAACCTGTCAAGCCATAATCCTCACCCTAAGCCAAGCCATAATTCTCAACCTGTCAAGCCATAATCCTCACCCTAAGCTAAGCCATAATTCTCAACCTGTCAAGCCATAATCCTCACCCTAAGCTAAGCCATAATTCTCAACCTGTCACAGTGTACACAAAAGTAATCTTGGGGAGCTAAGTAGACCATCATCTCCAGTCGGGCATAAAAGCACTAAACAAACAAGACTAGTTAAGAGTCAGCCTGGGATGTACACTCCTCCAAATAAATATCTTTACCCTTTTTGTGTGAGCCGATGTGACACAACGGACGAAGGATTTTGACAACACTACCGAAAGAACAGAAGTCGCAATGTACATTTTAAAATTCATCGGGTCCCTCAGTAAAGATATTTCATGGAGCATGTGTACAAGGCAGGTATATTAACTGATTTCTATCATGTATATAAAAAGGTGATATGCACTGTCAGTGTTCTAATGTGGGGTCCTGTATTGGGGGGGGTAACTGACAGTTATTTTCTCTTGAGGGAGGACGTCATACAGGAGAAAACTTAGAAGTTTATATGGATCAAACATACAATGTATATACCGGTATATATTAGTGTTCATATACTGTATATATATAATATATACTGGCATTATAAAAAAATAAGATAATGTAAATATGCAATAAAATGCATCTACTTACTAACAACCTAATTACAGAAATAATATAACTAACACACTATTGAAAAAATAAATAAATCTTTTATGTTAAGAAGTGAGGAAAGACAGACACACTTAGATTAAAAACTTCATGGAAGGAGGAAGGGAAGGAGGAGGAGGAGAAGTGGAGGTCTTACCCACACTGAGGTCCATAGAACACTGATTGTGCACTTCAGGATACTACTAAATAAACCTTTAAAACAAGATGGCGCACAATACTAGAGGCAATAACAAGAAAACAATATCTCCCATAAGTTAAATGAAGTTCTCTCTCTGATAACACAAGTTCCTCAGTCTCATAAAAAACAAATACAAAAATCATACATCCAGGAATCCATTTTTCCCCAGCCTTACACCTTGATTTATACCATACCAGCTAACTCAAGTGAAATATAATTTCTCTAGCTTTGTAATCTAACATGTCAGTGCTAACAGAGGGACACAGGGCATTTATAGCATTCTTCTTAGATAATTTTGGATTTGTGAATAGAATTTGTACAGGCACGGTCAAGAATCCAGTCGTATCTTCTTGTACTCCACGAACCCAGATATTCAGACTCATGAACCCTAAGATCCAGACTCGTGAACCCGAAGCAGTAAGCAATGATGCATTATACTGTCCATAAATGCTTAGGGTTCATGAATCTCGGGGTTCGTGAATCGGCAGAAGCGACAGAACTTATGACCGTGAATGTACAGTATAATTTTCAAATCATATTGATGCAAGCAGTATATATGTTGTTGATGAGACAGTTACTTCAACCTTCAGACCATCATCACAATTGAAACCTTCACTGGGCAGCATTATAGAGTTCTTAGCTATATACAGTATTTCTAATCATTTTGTAAGCTAATACTGTACACTGTATATTATTGTGTAATTCTTTTTGTTTAGTTTCATATAATTTATCACTTTTAAAGTTTCTAGAACATCTCTAATTATGTTTCTATTCTGTAATAATCCCAATTAAATTTAATGTAAAGAATTAGTGGGATTCTGTACAGTGTTCAGAATAATACCTGGCAAAATACTGTACTGTATTAATAATTAAGCGATGAATACACTTTGACTCGGCTCTGAATTCATCACTAACAGTGGTGGGTAAGCAGACCTGGTGTACAAAATAACAAACCATAACAACAAACACTAACTGATATAATCTGTAGCCACTTCCTGTGAGATAAGACCTAGAGATTGTCCAAAGGCAGCTTCCTCGTCAAGTTTTATTCTTAGTTGTTTCTTTTCATTAACAAGGTTCAAATTCTTAAGAACATTATGAAAATGTTAAAATATATTCTGACATTATGTATTGTCTTGCACTATCTCCACCTCAGTCTGTACTCACCCCTAAGGATGTGAAATAGATGAAAGTACTTGGGAACTTGGTGTTTTCTTTTTTCAGATGTGGTTATCAGCATATACATGGACCACATGCAACTACAGTGATTTATTTGCAAAAATACTGTAATATTTACTTAATTCATTGCCTTGTCTTCAAATAAAACTGCTTATATCAATACAGAAAACAATTGGGGAGACTACAAATATAAATACAAATACTGTACTGTACTCTAAGAACTGGTGTCATATAACATCATTTCTTAAATGATTCGTCTTTTATCAGGGTTGTACAGAATTACCTCACTGTGACCATGCTGGCTTGTACCACAAATCATTCATTTATCATTTCACCACTTACCAGTTTACTAGCTGTTCAGGTAGTTGGTTCCATCCAGTGCTAGTACAGAAGGACACCAGAGTGCCCGGAGGAAACCTGTGATGTTTGGTAGGGTCGCACTGGATAACACCCTTCCCACATGTGTCCGGGACAAGCAGGACTTGAACCCTTGACACAGTGGTGAGAGAGATACTCACATTACAGCTGTACCACCATGATGAATAAATTCACTTAAATAAAGAACCAACTCACCCCTGAGAGAGCTTTTTCCTTGTGTGTCAAAAGAAGCCACAAAATTGTACCTCAGAAATAAAAACAGAAATACAATAAAGTACCTATATGAAAATTCTCCTGCCTAGACAGTACTGATAACAAGTTACTGCTTCAACATACTCCCAACAGGTGGAAGAAAACAGTAGTAATTTGCTCACGACTCACTTTTTTCTGAAACAATTTTTTTCAGAACCTGTGTGTGTTTGATTTCATTTTGAACATGAAATTTAAACTAAACCTTTCTTCATGTCTTTACCGTGACATGTCCATCATCAATTTCTAACACTTGCATACACGTCACATACATTTCACTGACGTCACTATTCACGTGGAATGTCTCACGAACGCGATATATCACACGCCGTTTCCTGGAAATTATTATATATCCAAGATTATCGTATTTATTATAAGTCTACATATTACGAGCATAATTTAATTGACAACTCTCTCTTGTAGCTGTTGCTCTTGCTGATAAACTTTTCTGAGAACCAAATAGTCTCTTAAGAGGTAGTAGAGTGCCGCGTACGATGCCGACAGGACCAGTGCCGTGGCCAGTAACTGATGCCATTGGTGTAAGGAGGCCAGCAATACTAAGTGTAGCAGGACACAGCAGACACACACCCATACCAGCACCAACACTGGCCGGGAAGGGTCACAGAAGATCGCCTGAGCATGATAAAAAAAATTGCCTAATAGATCATAGAAATAACAACCTGGAACAATGTAAGAATATGAAATTACAATACTAAAAATCAGGGTTGGCCAATTTAAACATATGGGCTTAAACCATTTAAATTTTTGAGTAATTAGTGTTAATTAATGACATTTAAAATAAAGATATTTAGATTATCAAAAAGTCAATTATGCATTCCTGTTTCAAATTAATAATATTTTAACTTTTATCTTACCTTGCTGGTAGAGTTAATATTAATAATAGAGATTTTCAGCTTAAACGGGGAAGACTTACATATAGTCTGGCATGTGTAGTGTTGCCGGGCTCAGCAGCGTTGGTGATGCCCTCCGCTCGGTACAGCTCCCGATTGTGTTTGACCAAAGCTCCCTGCGGCCACAACACAGAATTGGACCAAGGGTTGTAAGGAGCATGAGCTGACCGACCTTCAACCCGAGCCCATCCCCCGAGGTGCATCGACGCTCGGTGGAGAATATCACAGTATCTAAAACAGTTCCGACCACGAGTCAGTGATTTGATTTGGAATACCACAAGAAAAAATATTATGGCAATACTTCAACTTTCTTCATAAGCAGATGGAATATTACATCTCATACATAAAAGGTGATGAAGAATCCTTTGGTTGGACAGGTAATATAATTAAAGAAATCCAAGGAAATACACAGTACAATATTACAAAGACAGTTTGCTATTGTGTCTGAGAATGGATTATCTGGTAACTGGTGAGAACATAGATACAGACAGACAAAACAGGTGACATTAATACCCCTTGGCTGAATTGCCCGAGGGATACAAATACAGTATACAAATATTTGCTTACCTTGCAGGGTAACAATAGAGGAGGTGCCACATGAAGCACGTAGTTGTCACAAATAGTATGTGAAATGACACCCACGGCACATCATAGTACAATGGACTCTGTAATGGTGAGATGTGTGATTACGTCTCATAACAGATTGTGGTAACGTGTCATAACAGTTACCATATGTAAATAAAGCAAAACTTTAATCAGTATAATAGACACTACATTTTCCCACCATTATCAATTAACAAAGTCACTTATCTGTATACTATCACAATACATAACTGATACTATATATTACAGTACAGTGATGACTTTAGCCGAGGAAATCGAAATCATAAACAAAACTTCAGAGTAGAATGAGCTATGTGGCATGTGCTAGGGCATATGGGATGAACGAATCAACAGTTCGCTATAGATTAATCATCATCCATCATCATTCATTCATCATCATCATCATCATTATTCATCATCCTCTGCTGTGATGTACCTGGGGGAGAGTTGGGGGTTAAGGGATCAAGAGGACACAACAACATAGCTGGGCTGGTCAGTACAGTATTCCATATGCTTTGTATTCTTTTAGCCACGTAATACATCAAATAATTTTCATTTTTATTTGCGTCGTTATTATGTTGTCTTTACGTGTTATTTAATGATATGAGAGAGGGAGAGAGGTTTAGAGATCATTAGAGACATACATGTGCTTGGTGATAGATTATAAGTTATAATACTGAAAATTACATGGTAAGTGAAAATCAGCAAAAGATTATTTGCGATTTATCTCTTTCGAGGTAATATCAGGAATGTAGCCACTGCGAAAAACGAGGGACCACTATACTAAAAAAATCATGATATATCAATGACTATACAGTAATTATTTTCAACTCAATTCAAGGTACAGTGTAAGAGTATTTTCAAACTCTCTTTCAAGCTGGGAATGACGACAACTTTCCCCTAACTCACCGGGACAAAGAAGCACGGAATGAGCGTGGTGTAGTAAACGATGACGATGGTCTGGTACATGACTTGTGCCATGCGCTTGTTGCAGTCGTTAGTCAGGAATTCCACCTCTCCGCGTACTCCCTCAGCGCTGTTCAAGCAAGCGTGCTGAATGAGACGCGGCACAGCTGAAAATAATATCAATTTAATAATAATAACGATTGCTGAATAGACCAATTATTTTAGCACAGTACTCTAGATAGTGGGTGGATACTTCATCACTGGTCTATTGAAAACTGTGTTAAATTAGTTAAATTTCTTAATAATGTCTTTATTTTGGAGGCGATGAAGCCATGGTTAGTTTAGGTAAGATTAGGTCAGTGATAAATTGTCCAGTGACAGAATGTCCCCGAACCACTCTAAATACGACTGGTTGGTCACAATAACATAAAAACACACTAATGCAATGGAGATAAACATTGTGTCCTCTCTCTCAGTGATAGCTCATATATCCATGGTCAGAGTCACGCTATAACACCCTCTGGAGATCTATCATGTACAGGACAATACAGTATCACACTTTGCTGATACATCCTCACAATGTTCTTTCAATTCTACATTAGTCTGCTTCCCTAACTTATGTCTAATTGTCTTCTCATGCTTTACTTCAATTTAATTTCTCACCTGTGTATGTTTCCTGAGGCAACCATCCATCTTTCCACATATTCATACTTCTCACTACAAGAAAGAGATGTCTGTTTAGCTTCAAGCCGGAACCAAATCTCCATTTTTTTTTCCAAGTGTTCCTGCAATTCTTAGATTCCTGACAGAGATTGGAATATTTGATGATGATTCTATATTAGGCACTACACTAAAACCTCCATATAACGGACTTCTCTCTCTCCAGATAATCCGTTAAATGGAGGTTTCACATCAAATGGACCTTCGATATAACGGACTTTCATTTCTATATGGCTTGTTAGATCGAGGTTTCGCATCTAACAGACCCTCAATATAAAGAACTTTCATCTCTATATACTCCGTTAGATGGAGGTTTCGCATCTGACGGACCCTCAATATAATGGACTTTACTCTCCATATACAGTCCGTTAAAAAGAGGTTTTACTGTAGTTGTTATGGTCACAATACAGTAGTACAAAAATAGTAACGTTTAACATCATTTATCCCATTTCCCCAAAGTTATGGAGTGTAAGCCTCAAGTTAGAAGGTCGGCTCACCCAAAGAGCATTGATGTAAGCTGGTGAGAGGCTCGGTATACAGTATACCCTATGGTCAAAACCAAGTAAGGTTCTGATGGCCTGGAGTTACTAAAAATCAGAGCCAGACCTCCTGAAAATTGTAAAGTATTTAGGCCACTGAAGGACCCCAACTAAAACTCTCCACCAATCCATATTTACCCAAGTTTTAAGGTTATTTGGGGGATTGATAATGGTGGTGCCTCACTCCTTTTCAAAGAAGTATTAGCTGGTTGGACAATATATTTTTACCAATAGCTGTAGCCTAATTATGATTTTTTTTTTTCTTTAACAACACATGAATCTTGATGCAAATGATTTTTCCTCTGTAAGAAAATAATAATTATAACCCCCTGTACCACATTAGTATAGCATTCATATGTTAGTTTACCATTATACCTAAAAAAATCAGAGGGTATTGGATGGCAAAGTGCCCCTCATGGTACTGGCATTACTACCAAAGCCTTATATAACTACGTATACTGTAGCTACTTCCTCAATAATTTTAAAGTATACCTACCTCAAGGCTTTCCCATGTTGACCTCTATGGCAAGTGGAGGAACAATATGAGGTACTAGTGGAGGTACAAGTGGAGGTACTAGTGGAGGTACAAGAGGTGAAGTAAACATAATAACATTTAGATAATGTCATAAAAAATGGTACAGGAGAGGTTATGTTAGTAACCCATTCTCTGTAGTCTTTTAACAGTATTAAAAAATGAGCATAAAAGATTCACAGCTTTTAAGGTATCACGGTGATAATGACAAAGAGAAGAAAAAAAGAATAAAGCTGTAATAAAAGAAAGGAACCAATGTTAGGGCTTTGAGGGAAATGTTACTGTAGAGAAAAGCCAAAAAAACTGCAGAGGACAAGTGAAGCAAATAAAGCAGCACAGTTTATAATATTCCTCAACATGCATGACTAGAGATATGGCTGTGTCTCAATGGTTTAAACAGATACAGTGCAGCCATATGAGACAATAAAGTATGGAGCATTTACCTTGTCTGGCCTTGGTTCCTTCCTCCTTGTAATGTAAAGGGACTGGAATAACTTCTAGGAATGATGTGATCTCCATGTCAAATATGAAGACATAAAATACAAGCCTGAAAGACATAATGATACACATTATATACATCAAGTGTTTCCGTAATGTTTATATATGATACAATGGAAGAAGATTACGGAGAAAAATGGTATTTCACACAAGGTTCATGTGTATGCACCCGGACCTTCATCCACACACATACATACACACATACTTTATACTGTACTGTATATTTAATGTATATGTATAAATCAGAAAAATAGATATTATTAACACAGACATCCAGACATATATGTAGCCAGACAGACATCACCATAACTGATTATCTAGACATTTTGCTTCATGTAAAATACTGTTATTATTTATTAAACAAATCTATCCAGTCAATTATGTGACCAAAAAAAATCCAATAATTAATAAAGTACATTTAACACATCAGTATTTTCTGACACAAAGTTTATTCATCACGTGGGGTTGTTTACTCATCACGTGGGTGCTTTACTCACGGGTATCCAAGAGCCAAAATCTTGATGTAGGTAAGAGCGTCGCTGATTGTGTAGAGACAAAAGCCAAGAAGTGCTGCAATGATGCACACAAACACCACACTGCCAGGAAACAATACAATAGTTATTAGGTCTTGCAAAGAATTATTATAATTATATTACTTCACAAAACAGAGTCAAGTAACTAATCCGAAATATCCTCAGATCCATTCAGGTTCAAATTTCGTAACCTCTGTGTTGAATAAAATCGTCTGGCATTTGCTAAATAAAATATAAAAAGTGGAGTCCCATTAGGGGTTAATACACCTAAAACTATGACAATGTGTTGCATCTGACCACAATTATTTTCCAAGATACAGGAGGAGACTTGTAACAGGACGGAGATCAGCCCTGCTCACCGTGCGATAGAGAGAGCTGACTTCCACAGAGACTGGTGAAGGCAGCGTGTGATCACCAGCTTGAGGATGCTCCACCCCCACCTCCGGGTCAGTGTCACCACGATAAACCACACTACACTTCCATCTATCAGGTACAGGTTCTGTGATCAAGGAAATATATACATTATACACATAAATATACATCAACTGTATTATATTTATGTAAAGTATGAATACAAACATGCTACTGTGTAAAAGTAAGATTTGATGTAGACTACCGATAGGCCAAGAGTAATGCAGATGAGCGAGGACCCAGGAAACCGGAATATCACCAAAACCGAGTGTACAAACTTCCTAGTTACCAGCAGGTTTTGCTAAGGAGGGCACTGTGGTAATCTGTTATTTATGGATTACTTATAACATTTCATAATCCCTAAAAAACTAGAAAGATACATAACAGATTCATAAAAAAAAACACCTTATGCGACATTAAACAGTGATGTACAAACCATAGCATATTTGGTGTGAGAATGAGGCAGCCAGAAGACAGTGCGGTAGATGTTGAGGTACTGGAGAGCCAAGGACATGAGGCTAAACACCAGCATCAGCGTCTCAAACCCCAGCTCCGAGATGCGGGGAATATCCGGTATGGTCATGTGCTTAGGAGGTGTTATGGGCATCAGGGGCGGTCCATCTTCTGCATGTCCGAGCCTGCAATATACGGCAATTATTAATATTCTATCCCTTACAAATTAAATACCTCCTTCTGTAACCTAAAATACGTACCTTATTCCTGAACATGTGATTCTATCCTCTGTTACGTGGGAAAATAATACTATATCCTGTATTTACTGTTGGATCAATATAAAGTCAGAAAACAAGTGACAATCTACAAGTGGTTTTTTCTTTTTTTACGGGGATTAGCCCACCCGGGCACAGGTCACTGACCCACATCGGGGCATGGGGGGGGCGAAAATGTAATAATAATAATAATAATAATAATAATAATAATAATAATAATGATAATAATAATAATAATAATAATAATAATAATAATAATAATAATAATAATAATAATAATAATAATAATAATAATAATAATGTATTAATAATTCAGATAAGTAAAATTTATAAAAACAATACAAAAATATAAATAATAAAATAATAATGATGATAATAATAATAATAATAATAATAATAATAATAATAATAATAATAATAATAAAGAACCATAAAGAAATACAAAAATGGAAAAAAAAGGATCAATAGTGAGAAACGATATACAGTACAGTGGGGTATGCTATAACGAACGGATCCTACTACGAATATTCCTATAACGAACGGTTTTACCTATAAAATTGAGAATGCTATAACGAACGAAACTCCTACAACGAACATTATTTAATTTTTTTTTTTTGCTAATTTATTGTTTTTTTATTACAAGTATTAATGATAGTCTTTATTTCAGGGCTTTAGATGCATATTTATGCACTTTTTTACAATTTTATATTATATTTTTCAGTGTTAAGTGGTTGTATTTGGGGGCCTGGAACGGATTAATCCTATAACGAACGAATACTATAATGAACAAGGTTCTAGAACCAATTAGATTCGTTATAGCATACCCCACTGTATGTTGTGTTGTCAAAGGTAAGAGAAACAATTGAGACCCTGCAATTGTGTAAATGAGGCAGAAAGTCAGATCAGCAACCTGGGACGTGGTCACAATTTTCGTGATGCCATCTAGCAGCAGGGTCTACCATTAAACAATACATTATGCTTCCAATATCTTCCCAGGCGGTAGTACCTCCCTGTTTGGTAGCTGCCTACTTCCTATATTACAGATATATTACAAAAAGAAATCAATCACTGAACATCTCCCTGGTAGAGTTCAAAAGGTTTACATTCCAAATAATCCTCAAAAACAGTAAAATATCTGAATGAATAATCAAAAACCACATCTACTAATATTTCAGAAGTATTCCAAACTAAGAGAACTAAAATTTAATCATCGATACAGTATTTACCAAATTCTTATTCTAACATATTAAACCCATGAACAGTAGCACTAACCTCTTCAAGTCATGGTCCAGCAGTGCTACAGGTTTGGGTGGTGGAACACGGGAAGGATTGCGTCGCCCTCCTGCCATCGCCGCTTTCGTCACTCTCGCACACACGCGCGTCTGTCATTTTGAAATCCTGGTATGAGAGACAGCCATGGGTATATAATGTCAATCAAAGGAATTTTACTTTTCTCAAGGCAGGAAAATGAAAACTGACAAATTATTCACTGTGTTTGATTCTGTCTTCCATAACATAGACTTTTTAATTCATAAAACAAATCTATATATTTTATCTTTTTTGGTAAGATTCTTTAAAGTCTTCAAGAAATTTACCCAAACTTTCTAAGCAACAGAACCACATAGAGAATAATAAACATCAGAGTAATTGTCTTGAATGATTCCGCAGACATAAGGAAGATTTAATTATTCAGGAAACGTATTCAATAAAACATCTATTTAGGTAAGATCTTCCAGCCGTCTATAATAGGAAAAGTGGTATTCCTCCACCTCACTTCACTTATTCTATAAAAAAAGAATTACTTTTCTTCCATAGATATTTTTCATTAGGTAGCTGGTTAACCCGGACTATCATTCATAAATATTACACAAGTTACTTAGAGCACATACACCATAACTACTATACAATGACATACTCAATTAACTTCATATGATCATAAAAGGAATAAACCACTGAATTCTGCTAAACAATTCATCTTAATATCATAGACATCAAGATTTTTATAGAATAGTAAATGAATAAAAAATATATTTCTAGTATATAGTTGTAAATCAATTATAGAGGTAACACTCCTAACACAGGCCATTAACTCCTAACATAGGCCATTAACCACCATAATTCCCACAAATCCAATTAAAACATTAAAGAGATTCAATACAAATTAACAGATCTATTTATTAAAAGATTTACTCTAATAAGACTTACACCAGTTACATCTACCATTTACTTAACCCCTTAATTCATATACCAGTAATATATCCTATATCTCTTATCATAATTATATGTTAAAGAGACTTACCAATAGAGGTAGTTAAGCCACAAACAAATTTAATTAACAGGGACTGAAGGAATAACTACCTCACTTGTGGTCGTTTAAAGTACTATCACAGGCACACAAACACGGTGCCACATATAAGTATTTACTAACACTTAAACCTCTTTTATTCTGATCATATTTGGCTCTATTTTGTAATATAGTTTAGTTAAGACTTTATCATGTTAATTTTTATTCTTATCGTTGTTATATCCATTATTATTATATATTTTCAACCCTGGTAAGGCTATAAGAGATGTGGCATCCCTTTCATTGATAGTAAATCCGGATGCTTAACAAGAACGCTCTGTGAATGTGTTCGGGTTATATACACAGAATAGTTTATCATTTAATAAAGATTATGACATTATTACCAACATATATTTAGGAATAATGAATTTAATATATGTTTTATTACTTTTCACATTATTTAGGTACATTTACATTAATTAATATCTGAAAAAAATGAATAAAATACCTGATAAATTTGTTCCCCTTCCGAGGATCCGAACGAGCCCATGCTTTAAACACCTCTATATATAGCACCAACTGGAGCCAGGTAATTATAATACTTTAATTCTCTTATTTTAACACATTTATAGATAATTTATTTATTAATCTTGTATAGTAATGTTATCTTATGGTTGTAGTGAAGTAATATATCAGTAAATATTAAAGATAAGTAATGAATGAGGTGTGAGAAGGTATTGTTGTTATTCCATATTTAAAGGTCATTCTTGTTGGTCATTAGGGGTTAAAGGTCATTAAAAGCCGTAATGTATTTAATTCTTACGTTATTAAATACTGTAGGTGATTTAATTCTTACACATTGTTTATATTTTGGGTATTTAATTGATAGAATGTAAATATTATGTTGATTTAGTGGAAAAAATGAATTTGTACTGATAAAATATGTTAGTATAAAGTATTTTAGTGTTATTAAGTATATTTTAATGCATAAATAGAGTGTTAATGTGCTTAGCTAGCTTATATAACAGATCAGAGCATAAATAAGGAGATATGTATAATTATTGACTTGTTTTGAGTATTGATATACACATTGTACTATTCTAACCTCAATTTAATATATTTTTCTTAAGTTACTAGTTTATTAACCACATACAGTCAAAGCTGCAGTTAATGGACATCAGTCTAACGGGTACAGTCCGGTATATGGAGGTAGAGGCAGAGCACAGGTTCACACTAGAAGGAGTTGTTCGATTTCGTTCATTTTTTCCATAGATGTTATTTGTATGATAATAAGTAATAAAAATGATATGATAATGAACAAAAGCTAACCTAACCTAACCTAACCTAACCTAACCTAACCTAACCAACCTAACCAAAGAAAGCTTCCTAATTTTACCTAACTTCCTAGCTGGAGTGCTCTGCTTCCCAGACCCCCTGACATATCTAATAAAAAGAACTAACTTTGCTATTTGTTACCAATGAGTGAAACTTCATTGAAGCATAATGGTGTTATTTTAATTTTTTTGTGGACAACGTGAGAGTGCGCTCGGATCAAATGGCTCGGTTGTTGCACTGAAATAAAGAGCGGACAACAAACATTCCCTAATGATAAAGTTATATTAGGTAAAGGTTTTGCTAAATCACTTGAGTTTCAACATAATTAAATAATTGCGTAGATATTCGGCAGTGTACGTGGATGGAAACTACTAACTAAAAAAGAACTAACCTAACCTAACTGTAGAGTATAATATTCTTCTTCTTTTTACTCTGTGTCTGTTTATATGTGTAGGATTTTAGGACCAGAAGTTATCTTACTCTCATTTTCCAGGATTACATTAACACGACACAGGAAGGAACATCACCCTCATCATGGCTGGAGCTCCGTGCTTCCAGGAGTTATTCTCGAACTTGATAAAGAAGCTGAAGGAAATGGAGAAGGTGAAGGAGGTGAGCGGTCACTTTGGTCCTACACACAGCATAGAGGATATGTTCTCTTATCTCTGGGGGCTAGAGGAAGCTCACACTTACCTTCAACCGACTGTGTTTGGTTCAGGTAAATCTGACGCCGAGGCAGAAAGACTCCGTGCTGAAGGCAATAGATTCTACCAGAGAAAATTCCTTGATAAAGCTTTAAAACTGTATAATCTTAGTATAATGTCCGCCCCACATCCTAGGGTCAGTGACGACATCAAAACTGATAATTTAACTGAAATTTTTGATAGCACTAATGAAGATGCATTTAGATCCTTAGCTCTCGGATATGCTAATAGATCTGCCGTGTTGTTTGAGCTGGAACAGTACGGTAGATGTGTAAGTGATATAGATAAAGCACTCAGGTACGGTTACCCAAAGCTATTACACAGTAAGCTAGCGGAGAGAAAAGCAAAATGTCTCATTGCTCAGAGGAAAGAAAATGAAGCAAAGGAATTATTAGAGTCTTCACTTCAAGCCTTAGATGCTATGTCACTGGATGAATCACAAACTAAGTCATCCAGAGATGCTTTATGTCAACTCCTACAACACTGCCGGACAGATGAAGGTTCAGTTGGCTCGTCAGTGAAACCAGATAACACTGATACACCATTATCCTTATCATCAGCTACCAAAGAGAAGTTATTATTTGCTTATGAAACTCCCAAGCCGCCAGAACTCTCACACCCCAGCTCCACCATTCCGTCACTGAGCAGCGCTGTCAGACTGGCCTTCTCTCCATCCCAGGGGCGCTATCTTGTGGCCGAGAGAGACATTAAACCCGGTAAGCCTGTCTCCGTCTTTGTCTTCTACTTTATAAATTCTGTACAGCTTCATCTTTTCAGTGTAGTTTCATATTGTACTTATAATTATGTTACAGTATATATTCACCCTTTTGTCCTGTTTAATAACCAGGATCTCCAGAACACCTAACACATGTAACCGAGACTAAATTCCAGAAATTCCAGAAAATTTTTCCATTATTTCCAACCTGATCATAGCCTTGTTGATTATACCCGAGTCATCTAATGCAGTTTTTGATTATAAACTTGAATTTTAGGACCATTTCCACATTTACAGGTGAGGTGTTGGTGGTAGAGGAAGGGTATAGTAGAGTCCTTCAGTTAGACTCCTCCTTGCGTACCCACTGCTCTGGTTGCCTCGCCCGATGTCTTCATCCATTGCCGTGCCCTTCCTGCTCAAAAGTAAGACTCGTTGATTAAGCTTCTAATTTGTCTTATTGTTGTTGTGTTTCATCTGGTCATTATCTACACAAACTGTTACTGTAACTACTAGCAATGACACCACTACATTTTTTTCTATTCATTAAGTTTTCTAAATACAATCCTCTACATGCATACAATGGTACAGTACTCCTTTACATGCTGGTTAAGGATCTGGCTTCAGTATTTTAAACATCCAGTATTTAGTGTTAATTAATGATTCACTTAATACAGACTTGGTTATTAGATGAGATTTCAGGATCAATCTTTCATTAACTGTTTTAAGTAGTACTGTATTATGATGTTGATAGAGTACTCTTTTTGAAAACCTGTACTGTACTTTACATTAAATTTCTTATGTAAATTGTCTAACATATTGTACCCTTATAATTTCTTTTCCAAGTTACTAAGGATAAATGAGAGGTAAGTGGCTTTTTCAACACTAATAACCATACTATAGAAGTAATGGTCTTCATAACTCATTATGATGTTTAGATAGCCACTGTATTAAGTCTGACTATCATTGATAACTTTGTAAATTGTAGAGATTACCATTCAATTTGTCTTTAACTATATAAAATAATTTTCTCTCAACAGGTTATCTTCTGTAGCAGTGAGTGTCAAGTACGAGGTCTCACATCATATCACAGTCGAGAATGTGGCGTACTTCCCGCCCTGACTGCCCTAGACATGGGTAAAAACTCTGTATTGGCCTATAGGATACTTATACAAACTTCCTTTACTCGACTAAAAGACGAGGTGCCGGTCTACCTCGGTGAAGCAGCTGAACGTACGCCAGAGAGACTTGGGTTTAACGACAGAGGAATATACGACTCCACCGACTATAGAACCATCTACCATCTTGTGACCAATAAAGAGAGTCGTTCTGTAAGCGACCTGTTCAAGAGGTGCGCCATGGCCCTAACGTTAACCAAATTACTGCAAGAGAGTCGACGGTTCTTTGTTGACGCGGCTGGTGAACCCTTTATCCCCAGTCATGAGGATCTGGTGGTTGCTGGTTCCACACTCTTGGTCCATATGATGAACTTACCTTGCAATGCTCACTCCATCACTGAGTTACAGGTAGATATACTTTATAGGTTTACAGTAGAATCATATAGTAAACGTTTTAAATATAGGATTGATTAATACAACAGGTTAATCTATTATTTTTTTATTGCTTTTGTTTAGTTTTTGTGTAAGATTCTAACAAGAAGTATCTCAATGTCTCAGAAAACTTGAAATACCAGACCCAACTGAGCAAGGAGTAAATCTTTGACTTATATTCCACAATTACCACAACAGGTGCACTCTTTTCTGTGTGCCTAATGTGGCGGTGATATACGGTTAGTGTACACGATTTTAATTTACTTATCTAAGTATCTTGTCTTTTGATCGAGGTCAGGGCATTTGCTAGCTACTTGTGCATGGTGGGTATGGAATGAGTAGGCTTGCATAGGCTTCTTTAAGTCAAATAAAATGGTTATTTGGGTGACCTCTTTCCTGTTTCAGAATATTTATGTTTTCAGACTGGCTTGCCCTCCAATTAATCTGAAATTGTGAGGGTTTATTGTATTCCTTAGTGCTTGTAAGCTGTGATGCTTCAGTTATGTTATTGCCTAGATAATACAGTACCTTGGATTCTTCAGTAAATAGTTCAGGTGTAGTAGTTGAGCTAAAAGGGATCTTCAACTGGCTTCCTCTTGAAAAAGGTCTTTAAACTGGCTTCCTGTATAAAAAGAACTGTGAACTTTCTCCCTACGTAAAATAAATTTGGACTTGGCTTCTAAAAGCTATGTTAAACTTGTTTCCTATTCATAAAGAACTTGGAGCTGCTTCATGGCTTAAAAAAAACTGTGAAATTAAATCCCACCTAAAATTGAGTCTTAGGTTGCTTACAATGTACAGTACAGTACAGTACAGTACAGTACAGTACACTACAGTACAGTACAGTACAGTACAGTACAAAGAACAATGAATATGCTTTCTGTGTTTTCTGTACATTGCATTAGAGTACAGTATTTGTTATTTGTTTTGTTGTATGAATAGAATACTGTACTGTATTTATAAATCTTCTGATGATACAATTTAGAAGGAAAACAAAGAGACTAATTTTTTTTTGCAAAAGATAATCATTTATAATTTAAGCTTAAGGAAATCAGCATTCATATTTTTTAATGAAAAATAGCATCATCATCAGTAATATCTTTCATTTCACTGTAAGTATTAACCCAGTTTCCTCTCTACAGGTGGATGTCAGTAATTTTCAGAAGAGCGCCTCTCAAGAAATTGGTTGCGGATCTTTCGGAGTGTTGAGTTTGACTAACCACTCGTGTAATCCAGCCGCTGCCCGCTCCAGCTACGGCAGTGTTGTGGTCCTCCGGGCTATACGACTCATAGGTCAGGGGGAAGAAGTAACCGACTGTTATAGTGAACACTATGGCATAAATGGAGCTGAAACGAGGAAAGTATCTCTCATGCAACAATATTATTTCCCCTGCTCTTGTGACCCTTGTCAATACAACTGGCCCACATATCTTAGTTTGTCCTCAAAGCTCAAACTCAAGTGCTTAAAATGTTCAAAAGCATTAAATTGTGAAAAGGGGCAGTGTAATCAATGTAAACTGAGCTATACTGAACCTGTAGGGAATAAAGTCAATGGAGATGTTACATACAGCTTGAAGGTTGTGGAGGAACAAGTCAAGGAAGCTGTTGTCTATTACGAGGACGCTTACAGAGATATTATCGATGGATACAATTCCTTAAAAAATGAAGAATCGATTTGTAATGTCATTCAGCTTATAGATAAATATATTGAACAGCCTAATAAAGTTTATTTTGAGGCCCAAGAAACGCTGAAACATTGCTTTGATAGGCAAGGTTCTTGTGTATTCAAGAAGGAGGTACTACTTTAAAATGGCTGTCAATTACATATAACTCTTTTTGTACCTTCTGTATTTACCCTTGTGTGATAACAATAGATGGTTGTTTTTGTGTACTTACTGTATATACACAATTGTTAATATCTAAAAAAAGACAAATGTGTTCTAGAGTTTTCAAACCTTAACCAAAGAAATAAAAAGATTTGTTTGTCATAAAATATAACTTGTATTATAGACATCATTCAGGTACTGTAAATAGCTTCTTCTTATTTTGTCAATGACGTCCAGGACCATCTACTGTACTGTGTATTATACAAAGTGCCTTTACATGTAAATCAAAGCAATTTATTACACAGGAGCATCAGAGTACATGTATAGTGTATAAAATGGATCCTCTTGTAGTGCAGGACATAGGTTGTATAATGAACATTTCTGAGTAACAAAACTTCTTTACTGTTGGCAATTTTATATATATTTATTATACTGTTGTGCTGTTGAATGAGCATTTAACTCTCTCATACATATGCCATAGTCTTTAGTGTGATTTTGCAGGTGAGATAGTTTGTAATACCTCATTAACACAGGTATGTATTTGTGAATATTTAGACATATACCACAAAAGTATATTTATTTGCTGTAAAAGTCATAGATGATTGTAGCTTTACTTGATTTTCACCACTGATCAACCTCTTAGCCTCTTGGGCAGTCAGTCACGTCTCTGTTACACACTGTTGGCAAGTAGTAGTCATGTACTGGCTGTGGAATGTATCTCTACCTGTACAATACCAATCTTTCCTTTTATGATATTAATTTCTTTCATCAGTGTGAATTAGAGGCTAATGAAATCAAATAACAAGGTGTTGGTTGGACTTTTATAAAAATAGGTTATATGGTAATTAATCTTTAATATTTAAAGACTTTTTTTAATTTATTGATTAATAATGGTGCTCATATCGAAATGATTATGTTCTAGTTAACATAAAGCTGCTTAAGATGGAATATTTTAACCTTTTTAACATAATTGCTGTATAATAATCATTCAGTAATTGAATGATTGATTTTTTATTTTTTATTTATTTATTTATTTGTTTATTTATTTATTCATTTATTAATTTTGCCAACCCATGGGAGCAGGATGACCCACGACCCCTACCATGGGCCAGGGTAGCTATCACAGATCAGGGGCAATGGGTTGATATTAGACAAGTGTACATCCCCTCTGTTTGTCTCTATATTTGTGAACCCATTGAGTTTTACGACAAGCTGGTGGGGTGGAGGAGATATACCAGTCTTCAGGAGAATAGTGATATTATTCCTTCACCAGACCTGTAGATGGTGCTTATACTCCTACAGGTATTAAGAAATATTCCAAGAACTACAGTATAAATCTAAATGGTTGGGAAATACAGTTCTACAGAAATATACATTAAACTAAAGAATATCAATGGTGCTATTAATGTTTGTGTATTTTCATGAATATTAATTTAGAATTGTTCCGCCTTTTGGCTATATATATTACATAATTTTCTGTTGATTTTGCTATTAAAACTCTCTATTTCACTTTACTGTATTTGTTTCGTCCTTATTTATCTACCTTAAAACAGTAATTATCATCATCTGCTGTGATTGTTGATTTGTTCCAGTTTAAGATAAAGGATTAAGTGTCGTACAGTATATAGCTGTAATTATTCAAGGTACTTTATTTTCATCTTATTTTCTCTATTAATGTACTAACAATCTTGAGGATACTGCTTGGGTCATTAACTGTGGACATACACACAGGCTACACACACACACAGGCTACACACACACACAGACACATGCTTGTTACTTACACACACACACACACACACATGCTACTTACACACACACACATAAATATACACTCTCAAACACACTCAGACACAGTTCAGTGGTTTTTAAATTGGAAAAGTACTGACGGTGTTGAAGTTACTTGCATTTCCGTAGCTATGCCTTTAAATAACAGATCAAGAAACTAAATATGAATAATACGAACATTTGGAGGAGAAAGACTAAAAATTTATTTCATATTAAATTTTTAAAGAGTACAGGTATATTGTATAACATTTTAAGAAAGTTACCCCTCCTAATTTTTTTTTTGGTACATACCCTGTACATTCCTTTAAAAAAACAATACCGTATTCTGCATTATAAAAGGATATCCTGTTCTATATGTTAATTAATTATAATATGATGAATAACTATATAAATATTAAACGGGCAAAATTTTGTAACAGATGGTAAGAAAATTGTGACGTCATGGACAATCCAATTAGAGTTGCTTTACGACCAGACGGACTCGAGTGACCTGACGAACTGCACGTCAACCATCACCTCCTGTCAATATATTACTCTTTTTAACATTCCGTGAACTACAGTGCAACTTAAAGTGAAAAAAATATCAAATAGTGTCGTAAAGTGTCATAAGAATTAAAAAAGTGTAGTAAATTCTCTATATGTGTCGTAATTTCTCAATTAAACGAAATAGAAACAAGAAGTGAATGGAAAAAAAATCCGATTAGATATACTTTGTCGTAGATGGAAATAGTATAAAAAAATACATTGAAATTACTTAGAAAATTATAAGTATAAGTTATATATATATTAGCAGCAACGAGTAACTTTAAACTATCGAATTGTCGTTTCAGTTTGGGGCCATTTGACCCCTGATTGGCCAATGACAAGTACACTCAAGATATAAAATATTCTTCAAACAAATTCTCATAACAAAATTGAAGTTTTCCAGTGAACAAATGTGAGTATTGGTTAATTAAGGGGATTGTGGGATGGATTTGGGATTTATTGACGTTATTGAGTGTAAATACAACGTAATGCCATTTAAGTATTTTCCACACACACACACACACACACACACGTAAAAATAAGTAAAACTGAACCATCTATATTAATATAATCCTCACAGCACCCACAGCAACGAGAGAATTTAACCTTTGCACAAAATATAACAATATCGCAGTGTTAGGTGATTCTTGACTGACATACTCCACAAGATTAACGATACAACAATATTAGATTAACGATACAACAATATTAGATTAACGTTACAACAATATTAGTTTAACGATACAGCAATATTACCCCCTTATACTGTGTACGTGCTTGTTTTCAGTATTATGTCATTAACCATCCATGAGCATTAACCTTTTCAGAGTTCTTCATAAATCAGCGTCTTTAGCCCGAAGTAATCATTTATTAACGAGTTCCTGTTGGTCAAATGTTTTTCTTGTTGTCTCTGTGTTTGTTGTTCAAGTGTTCCTTTTTTGTGTTCCATTTCAGTTTTTAATGGCCAAATGTTCCTTCTTCTCTCTCAATTCCATTTAT